CCTGCTTGGGCAGGGGGTTGGGCTGGGGGACCCACAGAGGTCCCTGCCAACCCCGACCATGCTAGGATTCTGGGATTCTGTGACTGGAGCTCCAGCCAGAAATTGCGTGGAAGTGGTTTTAATGAGGGAAGTGATTTTAGTCAGGGGATTTCAGATGCATCAAAGGAGGAGGTGTGAAAAAACCTTCCCCTGTTTTCCGCGTGCATGTAGATGGGTGACTGTACCGAAACACGTGCTGGTCCCTGGACAGGAGAGGTGGCAGCAGGGCTGGTGGCACCCACAGCGAGATGTTCTCGTAGAACAGGCACGGGTTTCCTCCTGCTTTCCTTCCCCCTCTAGGTATGTTAATTTGCAATAAACCATGGGAAACGGCTATTTAAATGTTTATTGCTGACTGTTCCCCTGATTAATTCAGCTGATGGGGAAACTGGAGTTTTGAAGATATCCCGTTCTTAGTCTGTAAGGGAAATTCGGGGGCTGAGTGGTAGCTTCTAAAAAACGTAATGACAAAACCAACTTAGCTAATGGGCGTGCAGGGCTTTGTGGAGGTTGGGCGGTTAAACAGATGCAGAGCTCCGTAATTGCTACCAGCCTCCGGGCCCAGGAGATGAAAGGCTCTGAGCTTATCTGTAGCCCCCCCAGCATCGCTCGAGTGGGACAACAGCAAAATTTAGCGTTTGAGAAGAGTTTTAGGAAGGCACTGGGGGCATCTCAACTGTGTGATGTCCCAGGGGAAAGACGACTGTGGAAACTGGATGCTGTGGAAGATGGAGCTGCAGATGAAGCTTGGTTGCTCAGCACCTCTTCTTTCTGCTGTTGTGCCGTTCGTGAACTACATCTTATTTCACCTCTTAGAAGTAAATCTGGAACTGTTTGCCATAGAGCATTTTAAAGAGCAAAATGCGCTGACCCGCTGAATGGTGGTAGACCAAAGGAGGTTATCAGAGGAAAGATCTTCATCCATGCCAAGCTGTTGATATCAGGTGTTTGTACAGATGTGGCTAAGGATGGTCTTGCTTCAGTAATGTTCAGTTAGGTAGGACTGGCTGGGTCAGATTCGTGTGAATGCCGTGAACTTGGTTAACGTCATTTTTGCAACTGCTGCAGAAATACCGCAAAGAGGTTCTGAAACTTCTCATCACCAGTTTCATCAAAGTTTCTATTCTTGGTGGAGATCTTGGTGCATCGTGTTGGCACTAGGCAGCTGGGGGTTTCTAACCCGCAATTACATTTGAATTGAGCTGGGCTTTTCCCATGCCTTTAGGAGGCCCAGGACGTCACCTCCAGTATTTGGGGGCAGGAAGCTGTTGGCTCGCTCCTCCGTGGAAGATTGCTGTAAATGGAGGGAAATGGTGTTTCTTTTCCTAGTGGGACTGCAGTGTCTGATGACCACAGGGCTTCCTTCCCAGTCCTGGATAAAATATGCCATCAAACTGAACAGGAGCTGTTGGTGGCCATGCTGGGTCCTAAAAATTATTTAAACAGATGATGGGGGAGAAAGGGGCCAGTCTGGCATTTTGAGGGTGGTTTAGACCGGTGGTGGGTGAAGGGGTCGGTGCGAGATGATAAGCGTTGCCCATAGCAAAGGGCATCTCGCCGGCATCCCATTCACCCAGTTAGCCCCATCTCTCCTTCTTGTCTCCCTCCCCCTAAATCTGTATAGTTACAACTCAAGTTAAACTCTAACAAAGACGCTTAATTCAAAGGTCGTTAATGGGGAGGAGAGCCCCTTCCCCTCCGGGGTAATTTGAGCCTGAAAAGAAACGGGGCTGCAGGGCTGCGCTTGAAATCCGGTGCGTCAATAGGGTCTCTGAAGCAAAATAATGGCATCACCCCGCGTGCGAGCTAATGGGACCTGATGGCACGAAGGCAGAGGGGTCAGCAGGCCGTGGGCGCGTGATGTATTGTCAGGGAGCTTAATGCCGGGCACGGAGCAGGGCTGGCTCGAAGCAGGGCTCCTTGCTTGAAATCCCAGGGTGGGTTTCTGTTAACCGGTGTGGTAGGAGCTGGAATGATGTTCAGCAAGAGGTTGGTTCACCCTCTTCGGGGCTCTTTTAGGGCTGAAAGTTCCCATCTTCCTTCTGGGAGCATCGTAAATGCTGGAGGCATCATAAATTAAGCAGATTTGTGGCAGTCTGCGTCCCTCCTGTCCTCCTTGAATGTAATACCTAGAAAGAAAAGACGTTTCTCGTCGTTCTGGAGAGAGTTGCAATGGCTTTATAGGAGAACGTGTATAGATGATGGCAACTACTGCAGCTACTCCCCCTTGGGATGAAATGCCTCCTCAGATGTCATGTTCCCCATGGGAACATCAGCGTAGCTGTGGAACAGTATTATATGGCGGAGATAACTGTTGGGTTGGTCATCTGAGCACTTCATGGGCATCCTCTCTGTTTCAGCTCCACACAAATTGTCCTTCGAAAATGGGGATACGCCACCACAGCAGTGCCGGAGGAGCTTGGGGACCTGCCAAGCTCAGGAGTGCCCAAGCTGCAGTGGCACCGTGTCCATGCCAGCTCTTGGCGGTAGAAATGCAGGTGTCTCACATACACAGGCTCCCGGCTGCTGGACGCAGGGTTGAACATGAAGCTAGAAAGAGGCGTTGAGCTCCATGGGAGCTGGTGGGTGGCCTGTTGGGTCACCAGCCTTTCCTTGAGCCTGTTTTCTTGGTGGCATGCGTCGTGATAGTCAAATAGGACATGATGAATGGATGGGGTTTGAGGTCAGGATGGGCTCTGGATTGAGCAGAAGTTCAGTTTCCACGTGAGCAAAGCCAGTGGGTGGGAAGAGCCGTTTCCTTGCCCTCCATACCTGTCTTTTCCCAGGTGGCCACAGCAAACCCTGACTCTCCTCTGCTTTCCCCCGCAGATGCCAGTACATCGCCCGATGCCGTGAAGAGGAGCCATTGGTGCAACGTGGCCTACTGGGAGCACCGGACGCGCGTCGGCCGCCTCTACACAGTGTACGAACAGTCTGTCAGTATATTTTATGACCTACCTCAAGGAAACGGCTTCTGCCTCGGACAGCTAAACCTGGAAAACAGGAGCGAGACTGTGAGAAGGACTCGAAGTAAAATCGGCTACGGGATTTTACTTAGCAAGGAACCGGATGGTGTGTGGGCTTACAACCGCAGCGAGCATCCCATCTTCGTCAACTCCCCGACACTGGACATCCCCAACTGTAGGACTTTGATAGTGCGCAAGGTGATGCCGGGCTATTCCATCAAGGTGTTCGACTATGAGAAGTCCTGCCTCCTGCAGCACACGGCCGATCTGGATTACGCGGACGGGCCCTACGACCCGAACAGCGTGCGGATTAGCTTCGCCAAAGGCTGGGGGCCGTGTTACTCAAGACAGTTCATCACGTCGTGTCCTTGTTGGCTGGAGATTTTACTCAGT